ACGAGGCCATGAGGAGTCATCGACGGGAGCTTCATCAGATTCAGGACGACGTGCGACTAATTCCGGGACAGGTAAGTCAGGTAAGTCAGGTAAGTCTGCTTTAAATTCCGACGAAAGTCGAGGGATCGACGAAAGTCGATCGGTGCTGGAAACGGCGAATCCCACTAGTGTTTTATTTGTTATTATTTCCTTGCAAGTTCCTTTCTCCACCAAGGTGGAGATTGTTGGGCCCGCTCGGCCCAGCGGCCCGTTTTGGCGGAAAAGGAACTCGGCCCGTTCGAGTAAAACGCAGCGCTTCATCCCGAGAGTTAATGAAACCCTAAGGGGTTTCGGGACTTCGACACGAGAGAGGCGCGGTGCTCGAGGTGGAGAGGAGAAAGGCGATCGCAGAGGCGATCGTGGGAAGGAGAGGAAGATCGCGACGGAGGAAGAGTTTCCCGGCGATGGAGAAGCTTCTGACCGGTGGCGGTCACAAAGGTGAGTCGCGGAGTAGGTCGGTAAGTGTCTCGTACCCTGTCTCTTGGCGTTTCCCGGTGAGCCTCCGACCTTGTGTGGAGAGCCACCGTGTGTTATCCCTTCTCTGTTGTTTCTTTCCGTTCTAGTGGATTCGCCGGCACCGTCCGGCCGAGATGTAGGCCCGAGCTTGCTCGGTAACCGAACTCGTTAAAATCGCTGTCTCTTCTTTCGGTTCTTGCACGAACGAGTGACGGAGAGATCGGAGAGGGTTCGATACCACCTTCACAGTTACATTTTTCAAAAACAAAGAGAAAGTAAACGGAAAGCACCATTGTTCCTTGGCGTGTTCAATCTCCTTCATCAGGCGTTTCTACACGTAAAAAAAGCCTTCATCTTCCTTCACCACGCAAAAATATAAATATTTGGGTATATATATCTTCATTCATATACAAAGTTTTTGCATGTGTCATCTTTCATCTTTCTAACCAGACAAAAAGGAAATCGATCGGTCGATGTGTATGGTCGTCAAAATGCGCACAGGAGGCTCTTCCGTTTGGATGCAGAGCCTCGTCGATGTGTTCCGAATGTACAGAATCAGGACGACGAGAGATATTAACTCGTTTCAGCGATTCTCTCCGACAATTCATCGGTTTGGCGGAAGAGATTATTCTCAGACGGGCCAAGGTTTGAAGTTGATTAGCTCGGTTAATGCCGGAAACAACATCAGTCATGGTCCGAACGACCCTATGTCACAACCTTCTACTCCAAAAACCGGGTTTAATTTCCCTATTTGGTACTCTCTCTCTCTCTCTCTCTCTCAGAGTATAAATTCTTCATAATGAGTGATGAGCATATGGTTGAATGTTATTTTGGCTCAACTCCTATGGTCTAAAAGATTGCGTAACCCTGATTTTCCGGACCAATATGAATGAAAATTTGTATGACTATATGCGTTTAGGGTAATGAATTTTATAACCTTTGTTCTACGATTTTACAACTTGGAATGAGCAGGGCAAGATGGGTTCTAGGTTCAGTTTTGTCGGTATTGTTTCCCTTTTGGAGCAAGAAGATGCAGACGCTGAAACGGATTGAAGGTAAATATATACGTATTCTCACGAATATCGATTTCCATTTTCTTCGGCCCGTTTCTCATTTCTACGGGTGCATGTTCAGGTGAGGTGGAGATGGCGGTGGAAGGGGCGGAAGCCGTGGCGGAAATGGTGGAAACAGTGGCGAATGCGACGGAGAAAATGACGGAAGAATTGGCGGAGAAGCTGCCGGAGAATGGTAAGCTGAAGGAGGCTGCTTTGGCGGTTGAACACATCTCTCAAGTAGCTGCTCATGAAGCACACCTCACTCATGAATTCCTTCTCAAGGTACGTAGAACTCATTCTAACCCTAATCAATACATACATGTATGTATGCATGTATGTATGGGCATAGAAAGATTCATAGATTTCCAATTTCCTTTGGAAATATATTTTGTTCTCACAAGGGGACAAGTTGAATATTTTTTTATGCATTCTTGGGCAAATATATATGCATATAAGCATTCTTGTTTCATGAATGATTTTTTTTTTTAAGAGAATCAATTAGAATTTGAGAGAATTTCCCATAGAAACACACTCCGATCAAAATGTATATTATATGAAACAAGTTTTAATATTTCAAAATGCGATCAAAATGTATATTATATGAAACAAGTTTTAATATTTCGAGATTTAGAATCATTTTTTCTTTCAAAACGCCATTGTTTTTTATTGATACTCGAGAAATATTCTTTAAAAACTCATTTAAAATCTTCTACTACATATTGTATACGTTTGATCATGGACCGACCCATTCGTAAGGGATGACGTCACATGCCCCCACTTTTTAATTAAAAATATTTATTTTTTTAATGAATTTTATAAAATTTTGATTAAAATTGTTAAATACTCTGTTATAAAATTAAATCTACCCTTTTTATTGCTTCCGTTTATAATTTTTTTCTGGATCCGCAACAAATGTAACGACAGGTTGATGAACTGAAGCAAGACTTGGATGACTTGGAAGCAATGGTGGAACGCGTGCCAGATAAAATTGTCGGGGATGGCAAAGCGAAGCGATTCAAGGAAGACGCAACAACAACAAATGGTCATATACTAAAACGCGACTAAAATAATTTTTTCAAATTTTAATTAATTTGTACATATATAATAAGCTATTAAATTCTTTTTATTACTCTGGCGTGAGATTTGTGCTTCTCTTTTTATTCCTCTCTTGTTTCGTAATTTTGTAGATTTTTCAATTTTTAATTTCATTTTAATCCATTTTCCTTTGTCAACCCTCGTGACTGACTTTGATTTGTATTCTTGTTATGACTTTAATTATGGCAGTCATTAGAGGAAATATTATAAAATAGGTGAATTTGGTCCATCAAAATCGGACAAAAAACGAGAATGTACGTACTGTAAGAGAATATTAATTTATAAAATCTAATTTTTTAGTATCAGAATTCATATGCTTAATCCATTTTACAATTTTCGTCCCTCATTGATCCAATGTAATGAAACATTATGTATTGGAAGTAATACAACAAAATGATATCATACACAAAAATAATAAAATACATTTACTACATAAATTTCGACACTGAAAAAAAAATAGATTTTATAGATTGAAGAACAGAAAATTTTTGTAATAACTTAAAATTTTAATTAGAAAAAAGTAAAAAAAAAAGTTGTGTTGTATTTTATATAATAGAGTTTTGTAAAATATTATCTAAATTATCAAATAAATCCGTAAATATCTCAAATGTTCTACAATTTTTTACTATATAAACTAAAATATACAAATCCAATATTTTTTGTTGAATTAAAAATCCGTAATTTTTCTAAAGGTAAATTAAACTCTTTACCCTTTTAAAATAAAAATCGTTACTTTAGTAATTCCAAATTTCCAACCTTCAATTTAACTGTTCCTTCTCACAACAAAAAGAAAAGGAAAAAACTCGGCACAAAGGAAAATCCATTGGCCGCAAAGAGAAAAAGATAACACGGCGAGCGAGAGAGAATAGAATAGAAAAAAAAATCCATGGAGTCCAGGTTCGTCTCTCTGTCCACCGCGACCGCGACGACGGCGGCGGCGAGAACCGGCGGCGCTTCATTGCCTCTCCTCACCATATCCAAGGCCCTACACCGCCATTTAGCCAGCGCCAAACGCCTTCACCCGCTCCTTCTCACTCGCTCTTCTCTCCCGCACCAACTCGCCACTCGTCGTCTCCAATTTTTCTACGCAACTCGTTTTACCGCCTCCGATTCGTCTTGTTATCGCGCGTCTTCTGCTGCGTATTACTCAGTGTTTAGAAGCTTATGCGCTGCTGTTGCGCCGGAAATCCAGCGTCGGTTGCAGTGCTCCCCCAGCTCCGCCGCGTCGTTTGGGACTGTTTCCGGCGGCGGTTTAGGAGGCGGAGGAACCGGTGGTAGCGGCGGCGGAGGAGGTCGATGGGACGGTGGAGACTCGGAATCAAAATTGGGTGCCGGAGCAGGTGATGGTGTCCCTTCTCCGTCATCAGATGTCATTATTCTCGATGTTGGGGTACGCTTTCTCTTTCTTTCTCATCTCTGTGTGTGTGTGGCACCTAACAGAGTGTTCAGAGATGATTACAATTACATAGGGTTGGTGTAAGCCACTTTATGTTTTCAATTATACACCACATTACCATGGTATCGACATCGATGTTCTACTGAATGCAGGGGATGACATGCGGAGGTTGTGCAGCAAGTGTGAAAAAAATACTGGAAAGCCAGGTGAGCTATGCTTTCTGTATTGTGCTTTAGCTATGATGTTCGCTTTCTTCTTATTTTTGTTTCCCTGATTTATCATGTATTAAGTTGTTCTTTCATGATTTTCATGAACTTCTTCATAGGCTTGTTGATAGGATCAACAATGTTCTTGTTTTATTTTTCTCTAGTTTTCTTATAATCTTGATACTTCAGTCACCATAATCTTCTGAATATGTTTTCTTTATCCTTCATCAAATGCGAATCATAATCGTTCAGGCTGTGATTGTATTTTCACTTCCATGCATTCTCTTTGCCGTTTGGTCCTTTCTTGAGTTACATGTTTGGAAGAACTTGATCTGGTCTCTGGAAGATGTTTTCCCAACTTTCTAATATTCACCATTTCTTTCCGTGTTTCTTTTGCTTTGTGGACAGCCTCAAGTTTCTACTGCGAGTGTTAATCTCACGACCGAGACAGCCATAGTGTGGCCAGTACTCGAAGCAAAATCTGTGCCAAACTGGAAAGAGGAGCTAGGAGAGATGCTTGCAAAACATCTGAGTAATTGCGGATTTGAATCAACCCCTCGAGGTGAGAAACTGTGGTTTGACATGCTTTCCTATGAAGATTTTAGCTACATACCTGACATCAACAGCTCTATTGAGACTTTGTGTGCCACTTTATTGATTATATTTTTTATGCACATTTTTAGTAGAAATCAATATTTGTACATATTTTTGTGCATGATGATACGAACGGTTGGTTGAGAATTCTTCCAACCCAGTGTTACCCAGTCATGCATCAGATTTTGGACTGCACATCGGAGGAGGGTCATGATTGACATTTTCGCTTTTGGGCTGCTTTATTTGCAGTTTTGTTCTTGGCTCATTGGTGCATCTGTGGTTTTTGTTTATTTTGCATACAATGCCCATGATGATTGCTTTGTGTTCGTAAACCTTCTGGATTCTATAGGGAACAATAAGATAGTTTGGAGATGAGGTTGATAAGCTAGATTACTGTATAATTTTTTGGCAGATCAAAGTTATACTTAACAAGTAATTTCGAGCCGTATAATTACAGTGAAAACAGTTTAGCATCTGATGCATCTCATATTTGGAAAACGTAATGCCATAGAATTCAATGTCGTTTATATGATTCTAATTTATTGAAATAAGAAACAGATATGTTAGCCACTTTATTTATTCCTTTTTGTTCTTTCCATTCTCTCCCTCTGTTTGCAACTTCGCTGGATACTGATGGGGTAGGGGAAGATCCTGAAGCTATTGCAGAAGATATTTCACCTTGATAGTATAAAAGATTTCTTAGAGGGGCAAACATTATCTTTGTGGTATGTCCCCTGTTTACTGGGCTTTCGATTGTTATCCTTTCTATTTGAGTCTGCTGGGGGTGGGTTTTGAGTCAATATTAACTTCATAATTTCTGCTGTAATAGGTGAATTAGAGCAGCTGCTAGTTGGGAATGGATCGGGAACATAAGTTCTGGTGCTGGTGGTCTCATTTATGAAGAATTTATTTCCAGTCTGAATGATTTTAGTGTTTATCCTGAAGAGATGTATTGGTGTTTATTATTTCAGTGTTTGTAAACCTTCTCCCAGCTAGACAATCTACATGTTTCTGTGACTGTGACCGTGCTCGAGTGTCTTCTTTACTTCACAATACAATGTAATTAACCTGTTATTTGTAAATCTCCACAAAAAACAGAGGCTTTAGTGTCTTCACAACAAACATTAATGTAGCAGAAGCACCATTTTCAATATAAGATAATTTATCTTAATTTTCTTGTTTATTTAGACTCTATTTAAAAGCTTCTTCTGATTGTCTGTTTTGCCTTTCTGTTTGTGCCTCATTTACCTACTAGGGCTGGATGAATTTAGGGTGACCTCTCCCTGGTTTCTTTTGCCAGTGTGACTTGAAAGTTTGCTAGCAATGATTTCTACAAATGTGTACTGGACAAGCTATAAATCTTCACATAATTCTGAGGCCTTGGATTTACGGCTCTATATTCTACTGAAATAATGAGCTTTTCCATTTGAGTTTTGTTATATCTAGGTTGCTTCGGGCTTGAGTTTTTTTCTATTCATTTGTACATCTTTAACCAGGGCAACTTCTTTGAACATGGGGTAGTGATATCTGTTAATTACGTCGCTTATTTGCATAATATATTTCTTCATATCGCTATCTGAGAACACTTTTCCTTTTGCTTTTGTAGTACTATTATTATTCTATTACCCCCCAGTTGTGCAATATAAATCCATTCTGTTCATGGAAGTTCTGATATATGAGGGGCAAAAGGCTTCTGGTCGCTTTAGTTTTCCGAGAAATAGGCTACAATATCTCTGTTGTTATGAGTTCTCAGTTTCTTTCTTGGTTGCAGGTTTGACGAATGTGAATTTCTTCCGAGTTTTTGAATCAAAGATGAAAGAGAAGCATACTCGCTTAAAAGAGAGTGGTAACAGTGATTTTTCCAAAATCTTGGTATGTTATTATAGGACCATGATACTTCATCACTGATGTCTGTTTAATCTGTTGAATGATTACAGGTCGTGAGCTTGCTGTTTCATGGGCCCTATGTGCTGTGTGTGTGGTCGGCCATCTAACTCATTTTCTAGGTGTTAAGGTTCCCTGGATCCATGCTTTTCATTCAACAGGATTCCATGTCTCCTTATCTTTGCTTACATTGCTTGGCCCTGGACGTCAGCTCATAATTGATGGCATCAAAAGCCTTTTAAAGGGTGCTCCAAACATGAACACTTTAGTTGGTCTTGGGGCTTTGTCATCATTTACTGTTAGTTCATTGGCAGCCATGATCCCCAAGCTGGTAATTCAATGATTCTTTTTTCTTTTACTCCTAGTTCCAACGCCTATGACAACACTTATGAAGAGGTTTTGTACTTGCATTTGGTTGTTTTTCTGTATGCATAGAAAACATATATGCGTCTTGTTGTGAGTTTTAGAGCAAGGCTTAGAGCATATCTGTTAAATGTTGTCTTGATCAATATCATCAGTGAAACAAGTCTAGTAAAGTCTGGTCTACAATCTCACTGGCATAAATTTCTTTACTAATCTAATTTCTTACTTAAATCAGGTTCTGTCGGCTAAAACCTGTTATTGTGGCCAAGTATTTTAGTAGACCACAAATCCTCGACCCTCATGTTAGTCATTGTCTGTGCCAATGTTGATTGATATTTTACCCCATTATGGTTTGACATGCAGGGCTGGAAGACGTTTTTTGAGGAGCCGGTTATGTTAATAGCTTTTATATTGCTTGGAAGGAATCTTGAGCAGAGAGCCAAAATAAAAGCTACCAGTGATATGACCGGTCTTCTTAGTGTTTTACCTTCAAAGGCTCGTCTTCTTCTTGATGGTGATCCGCAGAATCCAAGTTCGACTGTTGAGGTTCCTTGTAATAGTTTATCTGTGGGTGATTTAGTCGTCATACTACCAGGAGTAAGAAAAGAAAACTTTCATTCTTGAACATATTAGTTGTTATTTTTTTTGTGGGGTGTTTCTGTTTTCTTGGATATTTCTATAGATTTAAGAATCTCACTTTTCAGTTCTTATGCAAACGATATGTCTGTTTGAAGGTTGAACAATTAGTTGCTATTTTGCTCATTATGTATCCCCTGATTTGTCTCATATGGCATATGTTTCTTGCTTATCTAGGATCGAGTTCCGGCAGATGGTATCGTTAGGTCGGGTAGAAGCACCATTGATGAGTCAAGCTTGACGGGGGAGCCTTTGCCCGTGACAAAAGAGTCAGGGGTATCTTTCTACCCCAGTCTTGCTAGATTTACTATAGCATGAGATATGTTATACTTTTATTTTTCATCATTCTGTTTTTACATTTATCCACATTGTACATTCTGCTACGCCATTTAAAGTAGATCTCTACTGATGGTGCTAGCTATGGTAAATGTTAATCATATTTTTGTAAAAAGAAATTAATCTTTCAGCTAGAGTCAAGTTGCTGCAGGATGTATAAACCTGAATGGAACCCTTACAGTCGAGGTGCGTAGATCAGGGGGAGAGACAGCAGTTGGGGACATTGTTCGTCTGGTTGAAGAAGCTCAAAGTAGGGAAGCTCCAGTACAGCGTTTGGTTGACAAGGTCTCTCTTCTCTTTTCATGTGCATTCACATATCTTCGTACATACATGCATATTTTGCATGAAAAATCACAATATCGAACTATATGTGTTTGCATGCAAGTGCACGTGAACATACATTCTCCTTAGAAGAAAACTGCAGGTTGATTTTTAAGGTAAATTTTATTTTCCTCAGAGGACTTTGGCCGTGATGTAACAGTAGTTTGGTAGTTCGATGCATGTGATCTTGCTGGAAAACTAGTGGCACACAGTTTCTTTTATAATTTGTTTGCTTGGAAGCATAAAATATATGATTAGAAAATAAGATGTTTTAAGGTTTGTCCAGTTGTGTACATTCATATGATTTCATAGTTGTATGCAAATTTGGAAAAACAGCATGGACCTTAGATCTTTCTGTGATTACTAGGTTGCTGGACGCTTCACGTATGGTGTGATGGCACTGTCTGCTGCTACATTTATGTTCTGGAATCTATTCGGTTCATATATTCTCCCATCTACCTTGCATAATGGGAGCCCAGCTTCCTTGGCCCTTCAATTGTCTTGCAGTGTTCTGGTATGTCCTCTAAGATGATTTTTTGTTCCTTCCTATGTTGATCTTGTCCATGATTGTGAGGTCAAGCTTGTGCAAATAAATTTCCCATGGTCCTAGAAAAGTCTATCGGTTAGCCTAGACTGTAAGTACAGATATCTGGGTAACATTTTTTTGACCATTACATCACTATAGTGTACTACTTTTATTCCTCTAAAAGGTTCTTATACAGGTTGAAGAGAAGTGCAGTGTGTAAGAGATACACTAACACTGTATCAATCATATAGACAAACTGTGGCTTTAAAATCCTTATATTATTGCATAAAAAGAAGGATACTTGTATTATTGTCTGACAACTAACAACTGTCACAACACTCTGGTAATGTTTTATACAACCTTTACCGAAAACACGTTCTGGAAATGTTTCTATGAACAGATTCTAGGATTTTGCTCCTTGCAAATCATAACAGAAGGTAACGTACTATTCAAGTCCTGAGAACATATTGATTTATTTAAAGATACCTTGCTAAGAAAAAAAAGGCTCTTACATCCACAGATCCTTTCCATTTGGCTTACATCCACCATCCTTTCTCTTTGGAATTGTGATGTTTCAGCTATTAAATTATGTGATTCTTGTTTTGCTTTTTTTCTTGAGTCTGTTATCAACTACTACATTTTCTTTCCTTGTTACCATGTCCTTTCTCATTTATTTTCTCCCTTTCCTTCGTTTTGCTGCTGATCTATCTTGGTGACCTTTGTTCTGGAACCAGGTTGTGGCTTGTCCATGTGCCCTTGGGTTGGCTACACCGACTGCAATGCTGGTGATTTCTTTATAAACACAATAACACATTAGTATTTGTTTTGAATAAGTCGCAGACTCACAGTTGCATGTTGAAAATCAAAATCAATGAACTGGATAAATGTTTTTAGGTTGGCATATCATTAGGAGCAAGAAGAGGATTGCTTCTTCGTGGTGGTGATATACTTGAAAAATTCGCTTCAGTTGATACTGTTGTCTTCGACAAAACTGGGACATTAACAAGAGGCCATCCAGTTGTGACCAAAGTTGTGATTCCTGAATATTCAAGGTAGGGCTGTTTGCTTACTCTTCGTATTTCTTTGTTTAAATGGGTCTTCAAAACTATTCTGGTTGTTAGATATTTTTTTTATGTTATTCCAAATTTGTTAGCGATGTAAAGCTTGATTGGAAACTTGAAGGGTCTGTCTGCTGATATTGCTAATTTTTCCCTCTCGAGGTTAACTTTTGGAATACTTGTGAGGTAATACTACTGTCGTGGTAGATACCCGTGTGTTTCTCTGTTGTAAGATAAACATCCAGTTTCAAATGCTCTCATGCAGATACAATTTGGGTGACACTTTGTCAGAAGTTGAGGTTTTGAAGCTAGCAGCTTCCGTGGAATCAAATACTTCTCATCCCGTTGGTAAAGCGATTATTGAAGCAGCTCGGAATCATAATTGCCAAATCATAAAGGTATACTATTATAGGTTTTCACTTCCCACGAAATTATTGAACAATATTATGGTTGTGCTACTGAAGGTAGAGGATGGAACATTTAGTGAGGAACCAGGATCTGGTGCTGTTGCTATCGTCAACAATAAGAGAGTTACGGTTGGAACACTGGATTGGCTTCAGAGGTATTAACTCCAGGCACTCATTAAATTTGCAAATACTATCCATTTTAAGAGTTATTTGGCTCTCTGACATTTGCATTATGTTTATAGTATCATGCCTTTCATCGTAGCATGATTTAAGTTGATGTTATGAACTTATCGTCGCTATGATACATCACAGATATTTGTATTGTAGATAAAAAGGAAACTATCTCCAACTTCTGTTAAATAATTCTGGTTGATGTTTCTTTTATGGTGTAAAACCTTCTTCTCACTGATGGTGTTAAAGATGCCAGAACAGCTATTAGTTATAGTAGTAGTTTTTTGTTTGTAAGTGATCATTGAAGCAGTTTGATTAATGATAAGGTCACTGCGGTCACAATTTTGGCCTACTTGCGCATATATACCTGTAATGATAGTTTTAGGAAATACTTAGCTGAGAATGAATATGTAAAGTATATTTATGAGCAGCCATGGTAAAGTTACAGCTTTCAGTTTTGTAAATAGCCTAAGCAATCCTTGGTATATGCAGACATGGAGTTGCTGAGAACCCATTGCATGCAATCGAAGGACATGAATTTAAAAGCCAGTCCACTGTGTACATCGGGGTGGATAACACACTTGCGGCTCTTATCTGTTTCGAAGATAAAGTCAGGGAAGATGCTCAGCAGGTTGTTGAGAATCTGAGCAGACAAGGAATTGATGTGTACATGTTGTCTGGTGACAAGAGGAATAATGCAAACTATGTGGCCTCTGTTGTCGGAATTCCTCAGGAAAGGGTATGTTCTTATCTCTGTCGATGAATAGACCTCGAAAGGAGATCAAACGGGGTTTAATTTAACTTAGTGTTGCGTTTATTTTTATTTTTGGTTGCTAAATGGTTATACAAAGTCATGGCAATGGTTGAGCTGTAGGCATGAAACTCAAATGAAAGAAAGTTATGTTATTCCTTATTGCTTTGTCAGATAAGTCCATAAATCCTTGCATAGAAACTTCCATATGAATTGATGACGATCAGATTCAATGAGCAATCTCTGATCAGGCATATGTTACAGGTCATAGCAGGAGTTAAACCGGGAGAGAAGAAGAGATTCATAAATGAACTTCAGAAAACCCGGAAAGGTGTAGCTATGGTGGGCGATGGAATCAACGATGCTGCAGCTTTGGCTTCATCTGATGTTGGAGTAGCCATGGGTGGAGGTGTAGGAGCCGCCAGTGAGGTCTCTCCTATCGTGTTGATGAGCAATCGGTTATCACAGGTATAGCATCTTTCTCGGTTACACCTCTGCCTCTGTTTTCCCCTTATTTCAAGATCTTGGTGGTTGTAGTCTTTCACTGTGAAGGAAAAAATTCGCTTTAGCTTAGTAAAGATACCACCATGACCATGGACTTAAAAACTACTTGAAATTGGCTATACATTTTATTCCATGTTGTTCAAATCACTGTTATGTTAACTTGAAATAGGTATATACGTGCTACTATCACGTTCAAACTTGGTTGAAGAAAAAATCAGCATATACAGTGTAGTCTAAGATTACAATATTATTTACGGGTAAGTACTTTACCTGTCTCAACAAATTTGAATTTATCTTATGACAGTGTTTTGATTTAGCAATGTAAAAACTGAGCTAAAACCCTGTATTTAGATCGGAGGGTTCACCATTGTATCTTCATTAAATGGTATGGTGTTCAAGAAATGCAATCAAATTTTTTATCTTAGGAAAATTCATTGTCTACAATACTAAATGATATGTTTTGTTGGAATGTAACTTGTACACATTATCAACCGGTGTATGCTTTGAGATGTTCATTCCGTTTTCATCAGAGTTCTTTGCATAAATTTGTGCGCAGTTGCTTGAAGCATTGGAGCTGAGCCGGCAAACCATGAAGACGGTGAAGCAAAATCTTTGGTGGGCCTTTGGATACAACATTGTAAGTTCTCCCCTCTCTTTGATGTTTTTCTTCTTTTAAGTTTAGATGCACAAAACAATAGGGCTTGTTTATTTACCGGATCCTAAGGTCTAGTGTACTTGATTTCGGCTTCACCCCCTCGGTTTTCTCGGTCAGACTGTCCAGTCTCGGCCTCCTGAGGGTTGGGTATCTGAGTTTCGGATATCTGCGGGATACCCCAGGACTTGGTCGGTACCCTGTCGGTGGAGCTGGGGGGAGGACGAGATGTCAGCCTGAGGGTAGGAGAATGGGAGAGACATACCCAGGCAAGTGATGGAGGCAAGGTAAGGTCGATTCGGTCCAAACCTTATTATAAAATCCCTAACCCTAATTTCCAAAATTCTGAAACGGGCGGCCTCCCCTTGTTCCTGTGGTATCGCCTTCCCCTCGCGGTCTTGCTTGCCCCTTCTCCCGCTTGGGTTATCTGCTGGTTCCAATAAAAGGAACCAGGATGATGGAGCGACGGTATTTGTGTAGTAAAAGCAAAAACATTCGTCTTGAGTGGCAACACTCCAGGAATAATCGATTCAGCGTATTTATTTTTAAAACAAAAATGGGCAGGTAGGAATCCCCATAGCGGCAGGAGTGTTGCTGCCATTGACAGGAACGATGTTAACCCCATCCATCGCCGGGGCTCTCATGGGTCTGAGTTCTGTCGGGGTCATGTCCAACTCCTTACTCCTCCGCTTAAGGTTTTCCTCCGACAACAATCTGAACAGAACAAAACATCTGGACGGGAGGGCGAGATCGAAGGACACACCCTAGAGAAACAGGACGGTTATTTGAATCGCAAATTGTTCTCTCATGGGACCCCTTGACGGTTTTTGCAAGTGCCCATTTTTTGTCAAAACTCACTTTCGACAACAGACTTGGTTTTTTGTTTGTTTTATTTTTATGGTTATATTATATTTGGGGAAAAAATATATAGAACGACGTTGTGGTAGCAAGAAGATCACATGAATCTCACCAATCACCATAACATAAGCCGTAGCTAAATGAGGTTGAATAGGGTTGAAAACCACGGATTCTGAAATCCCTAAAACTTTGCCCTAATCTCCTCCAAAATTTACTTCATTTTGACGGCCACTTTAAATGACAAAACAACAACAACAAAAGGGCAAACAAAAAAGGAAAAGCCTGATTTAGGGGAAAGTCATGTTACTTTTGTTCAGAAAGTTTTGTCAATGGCTCCGCATAATGACCATACATCTTTGGTTCATATCAAAGCTGAACTAGAAACAACCCTACAAAATTAAATAGGTCAACTAATTTTACAAATGGTTATTATGGACAAAGATGTTTAAAAGCATAAACAAACGCTAGCACGTGAAATCATGCCATCGAGTGGCCGTGCCAAACATCATTAACCAATACCGAAAGCGAGATTCCTATCGTCATTTTATAATTTTTAATTCGTTTAATTGCACAAATTAATCAAATTGTTTAAAAACATATCTTATATTACGTTCGTATATAACTCGTATAATTTGGATATTATTCGTACTCCTAGAAATGCGAAGTGTTCAATGCTAGAACGAATAGATTGCCCAATTGGTCTAATTGTTAACACAATTGGAGTCTGAGTTTGGATTTACAAATCGACGTTATTATTAAATTATACTAGGATTCGTAACTTTAGAATTACGAAATATCTATAAAAATTTTAATTAGAAAAATTTCAATCATTCTTGAAAATTATAAAAAAATCACTTATATCTATTAGAAATAATACAATTTCGAATTCTATAAATTCTGAATATTTTTTCAGATATTCAAATTCGAATATCCAAGATCCATGAACATGAATTTGGATATTTTAAAATTTCAGGGTCCATATGCGCATACTTTGTATGATAGTGTTCCATTTTTTTTCTTTAAAAAAAGAAAAAGAAAAGAACATTTAAAGTGTGTTCAAGTGCAAAAGGGGATTGGAAAATTGTAATAAGAGCTTTTTGGCAACGGATGTTTTCAAGTGGGGGAGTCCAAAGGAACATCTTAGTCCCACTCGGATGCTTTTGTGACAAAATCATGTAGAAAGCCAATAATCAAGGGCCGATCCTTGTGTTTGAGAATTTCTACATTCTTCTTTGCACTTTGAGCAAAAAATATTATTAATTTCAATACAATATATATATATATATATATATAGTAAAATAAATGTAAAAAGCCAAAGCCCCCCATGGGCCATGGTTATGTATCCTTTGCATAATTTCCATGTTCACAAATTCATTCACTTTTATTTTAAATTTCGTCTTGCATTGGCCTTTAAGCTTCAACAAACAGAACATTTGAGATATCTGCCCCCTCGCCGGTTTAAAATACCTTCGATTAATCATTATCAGAAAATAAAATAAAGTTGGTGAACTGAAAATTTCAGCAAGCGACTGCCTGTGTAAAAGGGACTCCCTTTATTTGCCATCCTCTTGCATTCATTTCTTTAGCACTGTTTTCCACTCTGCCTTCATCATTGTCACGTCCCTCATATATATTACAACTTTTTAATATTACTAGACAAAACTATTTGTTCCGAATAAATATTAAAATAATAGCGACTACTTTAAAACAAAAAATAGAAAGTGATATATTTTACATAAATTTAATTTGAAAAGAATGAACCAAAATATAATCCATTTGTTTTGAAATTATGAAATCTGCGAAATGCTCAGCATAAAAAAAATTGTTGTTTTTTTTTTCAAAACAATGAATTTAATTATACAAAAGACCGTGAATTTAAATATTCTACATCAAAAAGCATTTGCATTGAGCTCATATGATTACTATTTTTTCTTCTCTTCCGCCTTCGGCGGAAAAAAAGAATAAATTCCCTTTATTTAAGAAACTCGTAGACGGACATTCCCATACTCACTCGCACGCCTCTCTCTCTCTCTCTCTCTCTCTCTCACATCTGTTGTGTTGTTGCCGGGGCGGCGCGTGGGGATGGCAAGCAGGGCGTTGACGGCGGCGATTCTGGTATTCACGGCGGCGGCGGTGATATGTAGCGGAGGAGTGGCGAAGGCGGCGGTGGACTGTTCGACGCTGATACTGAACATGGCGGACTGTTTGTCGTTCGTGACGAGCGGGAGCACGGTGGAGAAGCCGGAGGGGAGCTGCTGCTCCGGATTGAAGACGGTGGTCCGATCTGGTCCGCAGTGTCTCTGCGAGGCTTTCAAGAACAGCGCCTCCATGGGAGTCACCTTGAACGTCTCCAAGGCCTCCTCTCTTCCCTCCGTCTGCAAAGTCGTTGCTCCACCTTCCGCCCGCTGTGCTCGTCAGTCTCCCTCTCTCTCATATATATATATATGTATATATAACCGAATATAAATATGAAAACATAATTTGGGGTTAGACTATCTTGTTGATTTGATTTTGAGACAATGGACTGATGAAGTTTGGTTTTTGTTGTGTTTCAGTTTCAGTTGTTCCTCCCACTGGTGCGCCCAGTAAGCTCTCTCTTCTCCTCTTCCACTCTTTTGTTTAGAACTTTTACTTTAAGTCTGAATCCGATCCGAAACCGGCCGGGTTGGTTGGCTCTGACCGGGCTCACCTCTAAACCGGTTATGATCCAATTTGGTTCGGTTCAATCAAACCAAACCCTAGTTAGTAATCAAACTTTAAATTGTAAACGATTTCTTGGTAGGACTAGTAATATGATTAAAAAAAATAGAGTATTAGTTCAATGCAAGAATACTTTTATCATATACTAACAACATCATCGTCATCATCAACATGCCCTTAATCCCAAATTTATTTGGGGTCGGCCACATGAATTAAACTAAAATCATCCCATACTTCCGCCAAATGAGCCGATAAAGAACAACAAACTCGATCATGGTCTGTGTTAGTGTTTTCGGACATTTTTTTTATATGAAAAAATGTAATGATTCTTACAGGTAAATCTCCGGCAGCCACTTCGGATGCACCCAGATCATCAGCCGGAGCAAACGAGGAAGCTCCGGCTGCGGCTCCAGCCCTCGCGCCTGCGAGTTCATCGTCATTTTCTCTGTCGGTTTCCGTGTTGTGTCTTGCCTTTGGCACGCTCCTTGGGTTGATCTCCTGTTTCTGATGACACAAAGATCCGTTTTTGCTGTCGAATTTGTCATTTTTTTTTTCTTCTGCGTTTGATTTCGGATCTTTTAAGGCTGTTGAGATTTGCGTTGTTTAATTTTGAATCGGAGTTGTGTTAATTCTAACACGTTTCCTCTTTCGAAGTTTCATGGGAAAACAGTTCTATGATCCCCAAAGTCTACCGAAATTACTGAACAACATGAAAACTGCAAACGCAAACTATATTCAACTCTTGAAACAAAATCCAAGAACACGTAAATTCCACGTGTCACCACCCCATGCAAACCAGCGTACATTATCAGCGGTAAAAACCGCAAGCACGTGCGAATGGTACAAATCACACCCTAGAATGGGATGAAAAACATATTTGATTCGCCACACAGAAAGGAACATGGGGGATTACATAAAATGGATATAAGGTGTGCTTTCAGCTGGGCATTGGACATCACACTTCACTTGTAACCGTAGTCACCCCTATGAGAACTTACATCATCAAAAGCAACACCAAATCTGTTCTTGTGTGAAAAAAAAAAAGAGGAATACAGTTTTATATATAGACAGGAGAGTGGATCGGCTATTTGTATTTGATAATACAGGGTTTCACGAGAGATCGAGGCCGTCATCTAGGACCCGAGGGATATTCGTTTTCGATGTGGGACATGGAATCAGGGATGCTCCAACCGGTGTTGGGCGGTTGATGGGTTGGGTAGTTGAAATCTTGTCTGAACATCTCTTCCTTCTGCCATTCCTCCCATCTCTCGGCCAACCCGTCTCCTTCCAGCATTCTCACCACCTCCGACATCTTGGGACGTTCCATCGGAGAGCTTTGTGTGCAGAGGAGAGCCACTTGTATCAGTTGCTCGACCTCTTCCTCGACGTAGTTCCCCTGAAGATCTCTGTCGACCAGCGTCTCCAGTTTCTTCTCTTTCAGCAGCCCTTTCACCTGAATTCCACAGCCAAAACCGACCCTTTTATATCCCACAAAACAACCGCAGACATTGGCAAAGATCATAGATCATAAAAATGGAGTATAACCCACATAATGGAACGGCAGATTTTGGGGATATGAAAGGGAGATTGTATTACATACCCAGTCAAGCAACATGACATCGTCGTCGTTTGCAAGCCGGGCAAGGTCAAAGGCCCGCTGTCCCGTAATGAGCTCGAGAAGCATGACTCCGTACCCGAAAACATCTGTTTTCTCGTTCGATTTTCCCGTCGAAAGGTACTCGGGAGCTATATGACCAATTGTACCACGAACAGCGGTAGTTACATGCGTGTCCTTGTAATCCATGAGTTTCGCAAGTCCAAAATCCCCGACGACAGCTTCAAACTCTTCATCTAACAGTATATTTGCAGCTTTCACATCCCGATGGATGATCTTCGGGTCACAATGATCGTGCAAATAAGCAAGCCCCCTCGCCGACCCCAATGCAATCCGCTTTCTCTTTGGCCAATCAAGTGGCGGTTGGGATTCTGGGCGTTCTATAGAAAATACAGAAACAACGAGAACACGCAAATCATCACATTACGAGAAAATCAGGTAGACTTAATCGACAAAGTAGAGATAGGTCAGATGAGTAAACTATCCTCATGAACATCTCTTTCACTACCAGAGATCTCTAGGAGATGAGATGTATAACTAAAAAGAAAACTCGGGAAAGGGGTCTACATTTTACGAAACTTTATTGGAAGGAAAAGAAAGTTATTGGGAGATATGGGAAATTATAGAATCCGAGATGAGATACCTCTTAGACACGAAGCCACGCTTCCATTGGCCATGAAGGGATAGACAAGCAATCTTTCAGTCGGTGTCATGCAAAACCCACGCAGCCGAAGCAAGTTTCTATGGACGGCCATGCTGATCATCTCAACCTCAGTTTGGAACTGAAGTTCGCCACCCTGAGTACGTTCTTCTTTCAGCCGTTTCACAGCCACTAGAGAACCATCAGCCAACCGTCCTTTATAAACTTTGCCAAAACCACCTCTACCCAGAATGTGTCTGTTGCTAAAATTATCGGTAGCAACTTGTAATTCCCGCAAGGAAAATCTCTTGAGTTGACCTAAATGAACTTCTGGGTCTTCTTCAGCTGCGAAACCAGTAGCGGAAAATTGGAAATATAAGCAAAAGAGGCATCAATAGGAAAGCAAACCGATCAAAAGGAAGTCTGCTAACCGGGTACATCAAAGAAGTTGTCTTGTGGTTTTCTCCTTCGCCACCAAGCAAGTGCAATGGCAGGAGCGGCAAACAGAAGTGCTGCACCTGCAGCAACTCCCCCAGCAATTGCTCCAGTAATTTTATTTCCTGCAGGTATGATACGAAACAAATGCAAAAGTAAATACTAACACACAATCAACAACGAAAGTAGAACAAGTCAGCACCAAACAACGTTGATCATTCAGCACATAAAAGGAGATAAAAGATGCAAAAAGATAAACCTGAAGGCGAAGGGGGGGTAGGAGAGATAGGAGGCGGCGGAGATGCAGGAAGTGGCTTTAGTTTATTATTGGCAAAACTGTAAATGGATTTCAACAGTTAGTTCAACATACTATGGCGACTCCACTGAGTTCATGAGAGGAAAAACAGAGAGAAACTTGGAATAAAAAGCAAAACCTGATAGGAGTGAACAGTGAAAAGGAACCATTAACAGGAATATCTCCTGTTAGCTGATTGTTTGAGATATCCCTGCATATATAAAGATGAGACCTGTCTCAGTGGTGAGGCCGAACGAGAATAATCAGAAAATCAAATGGCGTAGGAATTTTGAGTGAAAAGTTTACACTCACAGAACTTGGAGCGTACTGATAGCAGTCAAAGACCTTGGAATTTCTCCTGATAAGCTGTTGTTATTGAGACGCCTGACCACCAAAAAAAAAGATGTAAATGACAATTTTTGTTATACATTAACCAATAATGAGTAAAGATTGACAAAAGTTCAACAAATACAATCAATCTTTTACTAAAAAAATTACAAAAATCAGACAGTCAGGCTATGCAGACCGGACGGTCCGTTTCAGAAACTTATCCAAAAGCTTCAGATGCTATAGAAAAACAACTGACAGAAATCTTAATTCTTCATGACTCAAGCTGTACAGAGTACTAGAGCACAGCATCACGAGAGCCAATATGATTTATGCTAAAGCAGAAGTATATGCTCCTCAGGGCCCAGATTTAGAACATACTAACAAATTAGTCAACTCAATAAGCATTCACTGGCAATCACAGTGAAGGAAAAAGGAGAAGTATTTAACAGTGACAGATGCTGAATTTTGTATGTGACGCTGCTCCAGTAGAAGATAGATCTTTCAGAGATATACTTCAAATGCAAAGTTCAGGCTCATTTTACTAAGATGAAATCTTTGCATCAGCAAAAGTTGGATGTATGACAAAATGGCTGCGCCTCAACTTATGATTTATCAGAGTCTATCTCATCCAGCAGCAAAGCAACCTAACATCCATGAAGCTCCTTTATTTTTTTTTTCTATTCTTGTTAAAAACAAACCGATTTTGCCAGAGGAATGGCATAACAAGCATATAATAGCAGTTTGAAGGAGAGACCAACATAATCGAACACTGCAAATTGGTTATTGAAGCGCATAGAGTATGGGTACATACAAGAATCTTAGCTTTTTTAGTTTGCCCAGAGTTGATGGTATTGGACCGCTTAAATTGTTCAAGTAAAGATCCAAGCTCACCAATTCCATCAAGTTCCCTAGCTCCTCTGGTATTGTCCCGGTAATGTTATTGCTATACAGTTCCCTGTCAAGGAGCTTCACTTGATAATACATCCAACAAAATTTTTCACCTCACAAAATGGGAAACCCGTAAAACCGCCAGAAAGCTAGGTTAAGAAACAAAAAAGCAGGAGATGAAAATGGAACCCTACACTGCATTCAAGAACTGAGAAATCTTTACTTAAAATACAAGTAAAGATTTGACAGCATGAAATGAATCTAACTGAGCTTTGACTCAACATTTGAGAATGAGAACCCATAAATGTCTTTCACAAGTGCCACAATTCTAGGCCACGTGTCTCGGGTTAAACCTGTTGCTATTCCCGTAGAGGTTCAGTATGATAGTTTCAGAAGCCCAAAGAAAGATCTCTAAAGTAATACTACTTAGGCCATTACTCTTTGGAGAGTTCATATAGACAAACAACAGGCACACCCATCAGTGCTCGATTCCTATACAAACATTCTGCTAAAGATGTCGGTAGAAATGTTCAAATACTTACAAAACAAATATATATATATATATATACATATGTACATACACGAGGTGAACGCCTAGCAAATCTATGTTTATGCAGAAAAGTAAGACAAAAGGTAGCCATTCAGTCCCTTCATAACCGATGCAGTTGAAATCAAAAGAGAATGTACAGATATAGAACCCATGCGACAATGAACAGAAGCTAAATAATTCCTCCTGGTAAAGAGATGACTTACAAGTACTGCAAATACGGAAGCTGACCAAGCTGCGGAACCAGCTCGCCGGATAGATTTGCATTCCCAAGGTCACTGAGCAAACATGAACATAAAACTCAAGACTATAAGCAAAAGGCTGAATCAATCCAAATGGCAGACGTACAGGAGTAACTTACACACGCGTAACACTATTGTCACTATTGCAAGTAACATGAAACCATGTACAGGGAGTAACGAGAGTGGGATCCCAACTTTGGAGGACCTTGTTAGGGTCTGCTAAATTGGTTTTCAGAGCATTCAAGGCATCACCTGCATAAAGGGGAGAGAGAACTGAAGATTATAACAAGGATGTAGCTTCGTCAGATCATTCGAAACAGTTGATAACACACAATGAAAGGGCCGATATTTGTCAGCTCTGACCACACCATAGCATCTGAACCAGCCAATTTATCTTCTAAAACGTACGCTCTATGAAATGATTACACAACATAACTCGAGTCAACGATGCAAAACTAGCAGTAATAAACCCAAACACTTTCTTTGTGCCCTGGCATGAACCAAGTAGCTAGAGAAAAGTAGTTCCATGACACGTGAATTCTCTCTCCTTACACCAACATACCACTGACGAATTCGGACATCTCTTGTTCATCTAACTATTGTCACAAGAATCTAAACTAAACGATTCCTGTCGATTCCAGCTCGAAGAAAAAGACGTGTTCCAAAAAATAACAACGCAATGTCAACTAAAAGACATTTCATCACAGAGAGACAGAAACAGACCTTCTGCGTTGCCGGAGACTCTGAGAATCGCATCGAACACCAAAATCAACCAAATGACGCCAGGAATTGATCTTCGTCCCATGTCTTCCACTTCACAGACTAAAACTAAACCCTAGAATCCTCCATCGTCACTAATCATCGGAAAACGACCCAGCAAGTTGTTGACCCCAGAGAAGGATCTAGAGTCCTCGATTCAGGTGTGGCTTCAACCTTCAACAAAGAAACCCAGATAACCCAAGAAATAAAATTTGAAAAGAAATAATAAAAAAAGGGAGACCCTCGACGCGTATTCGTCCGTTGACCAATTTGGAAAGAGACCCAAATCGATTCTCTGCGAAATCAAACCAAAAGCCCGGCTCTTTCCGTATGGAAACCCCCCGGAATTGCGAATCTCTACAGAAGAAGCAAGAATTAAGCCCAGGAAACAAAAGGGGAGGATGATATTTGCCACCAGAGTACTTTAAAAAAGTGGAAAACAGAGGAGGAGTTCTCGGGGGACGAAGAATGAATAAAGTACTGGAGACAAAGGAAGCTGGGTCGTAGTCAAAACCAGAGAATTTTCTTTGAGGGGGAAAAAGAAAATGGGGTTTTTACTCAGTTGGGTTGGTACAATACAGTAAAGATCGAAACCCATGGCCGTTTGTAGCAGTAGAAGAGAACCAGTGAAGGAAAAAAAAAAGAGGGCCGAAAAGAATGGTCAAACACGCACGCATTCAAAGGGGGATGATAATGATGATACTGTATGTATGATCATCATGATGGAGATATCATGATGGTACGTTGGATCTATAAATTTTGCTGGGCTTATATATAGCTCAAAGAAAAATGTGGTTTACCATAAAAAATTTACAAAACACACAGATAAAATAGATAAATGACGTTATTTAACAGAGGAGTGTGTTAAAAATGATGCAAATATTCAATGTAAATAATTTCATCGTTTACATAGATGATATAAATATTCTTGCATCGCTTTTTTTTACATAATAGATTTTTATCACCCTTGTTTTAATAAAATATATAAATTCTAATATACAAGTAACTCTAGAAAATTCATATCGATCCATAAACTATTAATGCACATTTTAAAATTCATCGTAATTCGCAAGTTATTTATGAATCACAAAGATACAAACTATTACTAAAAGATGCGTTCACAAGCCCTCTAAACCAATAATTCAATACCATCCACAAAAGTTTATATCGAAAAAGTCCAATAGGTAGGTAGATCATTGGTTAATAGATGACAAAGTCAAAGTATTGGATTCGAATCTATTGCTGGAGAGGATGTAATTTTTGAATAAAAAATGGTTTATATACGACGGATGATTCTAGGTTTAGTATGGATATAATCGGGTCGAAGTTAGGTGAAATTATCATGTTTATAAAACAAAAGGTTCATATAGAAAAAAATTTATAACCCCAACAAAAAAAATCTTTAAAGCAAAAATCTTTGACCCGGTTCGACACGAAAAAACCCACAAAAAAAAACTCGATCAACCACACCCCAAAAATTATAATCCTATTGACCAAATATATATGTATTTATATATTCGCACAAAAAATATTATTTTTTATATAATAAATTATGCAATGGAAATCTTTTTAGATATTATTACCTAAAAAAAGCTACTCCCTTTGAATAGTTTTACGTACGTACAAACTTTGAAAATTGTAAATAAATCCATGCACGAAAGAAGAAACACAAGTTGACCGCGGAAGAACCACTAATATCGACGTCATCAATCCGTAAAAAATATTCAACCAATAGGATTTGAAGATAAAGATCGCCACATCAGCTCTCTTCACTTCCGGCAAATCTGGACCGTCGAAAAGGTTTCAAATCGCACGTCTGCTGCTGCTCCTAAATCGAGCCGATTAAACCTTTTCCTATATATGATAATTTTCTAATCCGCTAATTCAATTTTTCTAGTTTTGGTATCCTCTTCGAAGGTACGCCTCTTTCTGTGATGAGATTTCTATGCGATTTGTTCTCTTTGTCGATTTGTTTCATGGGACTATTGTCTTAATCGATGACCAGATTTGTCTGATTGTGTTTTTTTTTTTCTTATCCATGTTCCACAGAATCTCAAGTTCTTGTGTTGTTGTTCTTGACTGAGAAGATATGGCTCGTACGAAGCAAACCGCGCGTAAATCGACAGGAGGAAAGGCTCCGAGGAAACAACTCGCAACCAAGGTTTGGTTTTGTATTCTGTTTCCGATCATAATATCATTGAAGGCTCCTAGGGTTTTCCTATTGGGTCTAGTTCGAAATAATCCCGAGTTTGGGTAGTGATTCAAACCATAGTTGGGGGTGGGAGAAGCGGAAATACGGTTCTCGATTTGGGTTAATTCGAACGAGTCTTTTCTTCTATCTGGGTTTAATTCCGAAATTCGAATTATTCTTGAGTTTTATTAGCGATTCAAGGGATAATTTGCATGGGAGAAGGGGAATTGGTTGATTAGGGTAAAATACGAATGTGTCCCGAGTTTGTGTAATGATTGAAAACAAAAATCGAAACGCAGGCTGCGAGGAAATCTGCTCCGACCACCGGAGGAGTCAAGAAGCCTCACCGTTACCGTCCTGGAACTGTCGCCCTTCGGTAATTACATGTATTTGGTTTTGAATGTGTCATTCAAACACCCCTTCTTTGATATGAAACGTGAATGATTGGTATTGGTTTTGGATAATGCAACAGTGAAATTCGCAAGTACCAGAAGAGCACAGAGTTGCTGATCCGTAAACTGCCGTTCCAGCGTCTTGTTCGTGAAATCGCTCAGGATTTCAAGGTAACTTGTGTTATGACTTAAACTCTTGTTGAATCGTAATTCTTCAAATACCAAATTCTATCCTAGTAGAAGATCATTGGGTAACTAGACTGATCAATGTTTACACGAGAAGTTTTGCCTCTGCAGTTGATTCAGTTATGTGATTCGAACTTTAGGGCATTGCAAATACTCTTGAGTTAGATGTCTTGTAAATAAGGATAAGGGAGTGTTGTTCATCAAAGCGGGTAGCAAATTGATCGCGTCCTTGGTTCAAATGAGATAAAGAGTGGATTTGTTTTCCAATTAGCGACAGACGCAAAATTGTCTCTGCTATTGTGATTTTGCTATGGGGTTGTGGTATAGTTTGATTTTGTTCAGACCTAAAGGGGGAGGATTTTGCATAGTTCACACGAGATGATTAATAATGGGTATGATTTGGATTCATATGAGATTTTGCTTTAATTGGGTTGGATGTGGAAATTGCAGACAGACCTGAGGTTCCAGAGCCATGCAGTGTTAGCTCTTCAGGAGGCGGCTGAGGCGTACCTGGTGGGTCTATTCGAGGACACCAACCTCTGCGCCATTCATGCCAAGAGGGTCACCATTATGCCCAAAGACATCCAATTGGCTCGACGGATTCGCGGAGAGCGAGCTTGATTTTCGACTACTTGTCCACTATGTAGCCTTTTCCTTAGTGAGTGGTGGTTAGGTTTTGGAAATGGTAAGAGGAAGGAATAGCAATTTGTGTGAGATAATACATACCTCTTTGTCTTCAGCCTCTCTATTGCGCAATTCATCGTCTCGAAGTTGGTTTTCGGCTTTTGTTTGGTGGGTGAATGATGGAATTTCCTCTCTTGTTTTACAAATGAAAATTGGTTGTTCTCGATATGCAGTAGGTCATATGTTATCTGGATCCAAAAGAAGGAATATGCAACTATGGCTTCATAGAAGATGTGAGACGATTGATTGATCCAGAGGAACGCACGAGGAGTGGGAGTCGATAAGAAATACATGTTTGTTTTGTTGCTGCTTACGAATTAGAAAAAACAAAATTCATAATCTAATTAAACCTAAACCTATTTCTGGGTTATCAAGACAACCTTGTATAATTAAGGATATGGTTTTGTAATTTACTTTAATTTATAGTTTTAATATTACTGATTCTGATGAGAGGGTTACGGAAAACAAATTTAGTAATTAATTTCATCAATTTACTGTCTGTGTCAGTTGAGGCATTTTGTTTGGTGTAGCTGTCAACAAATATTCCGTAATCTATTTTTGTAACGACGAAACTGCCATCTCATGAGTTAACAAAAACGGAAACTGGCATCTCATTAATTACCCCAAATGATACGTTGGCAAAGTTGGAGGAATTAATTGCCCGCAAGGTAATCCATTCGTATTATTCTTACAAATCCAATAGGAAGTTTTAAAAATTACAATTCCGGAATTTTCATATATATTGGGATTGTAATATATGGTTATATATGTTTGCAATTTCATAATCTCTTAAAAACTCCCTGAAAATTAGAAGCATTATAAAATTTTTATATGAACCAAGAAAGAAAATCCACATTAATATATAGTTTTGACGGGGAAATTGGTGAAATAATCATTTCTAAAAAATAAATTAATCATTTTCTGAATCTAATCTACATTGCAGAAATCTATTTCATTTTAATGTTGTATATAAAAAAAATGTCTAACCACCCAAAATGAAAACAATTTATTTTGAAAATCGTTCAGAAGTTGAAGTTAGACTGTAAAGTCAAAGGTTGGACCGTCATATTCTACTGATTAACAAAATAACTCTCAATAGATTGAAATTTATAATTTTATTATATGTAAGATTTTAAATTAATCGAATAATATACAATAGTATACAAGGTAAATTCCATCTAAAAAGTTTATACAAATCGAAACAAAAGATGAGTGTATGTATACCTTTTTTCTAAGTGTTAATATTTGGAAAAAATAATTGAATCGAAATCGGAAATTTTACTTTGAAAATAATTTACTCCAAACTATATATATATATATATATTTGTGGCGCTCGCAACGAATATAATTTCTAGTTGTGCTAGGGTTTAAGGTTAGTGGTGAAATCTGATTGGTTTATATTTATCTAAGGGAATGAAGGGAGGACATGCCACCTTAGTTCGGAACAACGTGCGAAATCAATGTTGACAGATTTGCATGCATCTCCCATTGTTTCCTTTTCATCGCTTTGCTTCGATTTTACTATTCTTTCCTAACCGGAAAAAATGTATTATTATTTGTTTTTATTATGGGATCTAATTATAAAATACAATTTTATAAAATCTAATCTTACAAATTGTATTAATTTAATAGATAAGGTCTGGAGTTTTTTTAATCCAGCCCATCGAAAAGTATTCGTTTTGCTTCGGAAATCCGAATATTTTAAACCTCCGGCTCGAGAACAGCCTTTGTATATCAATCATATAAACCCAGAATTATCTCCCTCCCCACAAGCCAGGAATCGAACACTCAACTTCAAGGTGGAGTTACCTCCTACTCCAAACTTGATCACTCGCCCACGATCTGTTGGGTTGGTCCTCGTAACTTGTTAGAAGGCCAATTTTAAATAAGTGGACCTATTTAAATAAATGGGCATGCCTTATAAAAACCATTTTGTAACAGAAGCATTTCATTATGCTTAGTTGTTAGCGCTAACAATGGCTTGTCATATATACCTTTTTTAGAAGCGAATCATAGGTGATGATTGTATGATAAAAACACGTACTAAAAAAAATAACAAGATGAAAGAGCAATTAACTAAGACAACTGCACTGTTAAAACCAAATATTATACAAAAAAAAAAACAAATAAATTCACATTGTACAAAAAAAAAATCAAATAAAACATTATTTTCACTATTCCATCACTCTAATAAACTGCATGCAACAAAAAGCATTTCTAATTGATTGAAGATAATTTTTCCTAAATATGGAAATGATTAAAAATCTGAACTGACCACGAAAAAAAAATAATTGTTTTTCTTACATGAAAGCAGAATCCAAACTGAAGTCGCAAAGAACCCGAACTGAATCGAAATTCGATACGGAAGTCGAATGATATAAATTTTTTAAAATTGAAAACTCGAGTAAAAAATAACTAGACTGAAAGTTAAAATTTATATCCCTTATTATATCGTTGAAACAATTGTCCTCTATAGAAAAATTAAATAAAACTAGATTAATTTAACAAATCTTTAATTTAGAATGAAATGCAAATGTTTGATCGTGTTAAATAACTTTTTATATTTGAAACAACTCTTAAACATTTAAATCTTCTTACCAGAATAGTATATGATTGGTTGATAACAAAATACCCAAATATCGTAAATAATCTTAATGGACAATATTGATTAAATATACAAAACCCAATATTTATACGTACAATTTCGTCAAGCCAGATTTTAAGCACACAGAAAACATATACAAATATGATATATGTATGTAGGTATATATTGACAGAGGCACTTGGATATGTATTATATATATATATTGACAAGTCATATAAATAAGTAAGGGCTTTATCTTGTAAACAAAAGAAAAGTGACTTCTCACCATAACCCTAAGAGAGAGAGAGAGAGGAACGAATTAATCCACTCTTTTTTTATTCTTATTTTTCCCTTCTTTGTTCAAAATTTCATCCTTTCATCATGTCGTCTTAGACCAACTATGTCCATGACCTGTCTTGTTCCATTCCAACTCCGAGTAAAACTCTGAAATCAGTTCGGTCGGTCGGTCCACTTGACATCTGTATTGGATTCCTTACATACATATAGAGAGTAGTTTGAAATTTCAATGGAAATCTCTGAAACAAGCAACGATAGTTTTGAGAGTGCTCAAACTTGCCAAAGAGGTCACTGGAGACCGGCCGAAGACGAAAAGCTCCGGTTTCTTGTGGAGAAATATGGCCCCAAGAACTGGAATTTCATCGCTCAGCATCTCCAGGGCCGGTCTGGTAACATATATAGATCCAATCATTTTTCTTTCATATTTTTGTAGACACCCTTTTATATGTATGTATGTATGTATGTATGTATGTATGTATCGTTTGATACGTATTGTTTCCGGTACATATAGGGAAAAGCTGTAGGTTGAGATGGTACAACCAGCTCGATCCGAACATCAACAAGAAACCCTTCACGGAGGAAGAAGAGGAGAGATTGCTGAAGATGCATCGGACTCAAGGGAATCGTTGGGCATCCATCGCAAGATTGTTCCCCGGAAGGACGGATAATGCGGTCAAGAACCATTTCCACGTGATTATGGCCAGGCGAAAACGCGATCGTTTCTCCTCTCTCGCCTCCTCCTCAGCTAGTTTCAAGCGGAATTGGCAAGGCATCGCCACGACCTCTACTAGCCATGGCTTCCTCCCTAGGGTCGACAGCTCGAACTTTGGACTATGGAGATCGCAAGACGTCAAGAAACATGAGACGTGGCCTGGTTCTTGGACGTATAATGGATCTACTGTCACTTCTGGTTCATCATTCTTCGATGGCTTTGGAGCGAGGAGGTGTTATAGTCCTAATTTTTCTGTTTTGGCACCGAGGGATTGTCATATTGGATCGACTAATTCGGTCTCCGATTGCGGCCATGGAAGTCAAGAAGAGACGTTTCGTGTGACCGAGAGTACAAATCGTCACGGAGAAGCTCATGGAAAGATTGCAGAACATGTTGATGATCATGATGAGGAGGGGAAGAACAATGTCGCTTTCATTGATTTTCTTGGCGTTGGATTATAGTTTCTTAGGTTCGAATATCATCACTCAATTTCATCAAGGATCTGTCATCAGGTTTATGTTTCATTTTCTTCCTTTCTCAATCTTCTGTTCTACACATATACATACATAATATATATATACACACACACATATATATATATATATATATATATATATATATATTACAACCTTGAAATCAAAATCTCCTCAAGCAAGAGTTCCATATACATATATATATATATATATATATGTATATATATGCCTACGTTTAGTTGAGTATGCGTTGAAAAGTATGAATTTGCATCTACATATATATAAACATAGGCAAGGCTACACATGCATATATGCATGGACACAAACGTATATACCAATATATGCATGTCTGGGAGTGTATCCATTTGTATGGGTTAATTATAATGGGTTTTCACCATTTTTTTTTTATCAAATTATATAAGTTATTGTTGAATCAACATAGATCGTAAGTATCCATCTATATATAGAGCTTATACCAGAAAGCATATAATATACGATTTTGTAATTCGTCAGTTTATACAGTCACTTACAAATTTTTTGTACGTTCGGGAAAAAAACGGAGAAATCTTTTTCTTCTGCTGCTGGATTTTACGGATATGCATAAATAATTTTTAGAAAAAAAATCCTTTCACGTCATCCAAATTTATGATCTTACCAACCATCTATACTATATATATAACCTTTAAGTACGAAAATTTGATATTCTTTAAAATAAGAAACTAATTAACGATGACATAAAAGCACATTCGTATGAAAAAAAATTAACGATGACATATGTCACCGTAACCTTTAAAATAATATATATTTCATAATTCTTATAAAATCTGTATGTTCTATAGTATCAACAAATTTTGGGAAAACGATACTATACGTCAAGTATAATATGAAAGATATTGAATAATTTAAAAATATTTATTTATAAATATTTTTTGGTTTTATTTTAGTTTATTGATAATTTTTATTCTTTTTTTTTTGGGTTTGATTAATTTGTTATAATAAAAATCGTACTCAATTATTATTTAAATCAGGCCCATTTAAATGTTTAAAAGCCCATATGTTTTCATTAGTAGCCCATGAAAACTATATTGCAAGCATGAATAGTTTCAGTCAAAATCAATACAATAATATTACCCTTATTAAAGTTTCAATTTTATAATGATCCGATTTACGATCTTATTAGTTACTAGAATTTAAATTTATGACTATGAAAAAATATTTTTTTTCTATAGAAATGTCATCCCTAAATGAGTTTATTGAAGTACATGATTGTATTGAGATTAAGTTTCGTCATTCACATTAAAATTATAAACTCAAAATATATCGCGGAAAGTATATAGTTTCGCTGAATATTTGATAATAGAATTCATAACGACAAACTTATCTTGAAAATTTTGTTTAACATGGCTTAAATAGCAACCAAATACCGGTTATTTAAAAAATTAACCTTTTATTAATATTATTATTAAGTAGAAAAACTAAGTATTTACAATTTTATAAACTATTTAAAATTCTTATTAATTATTATTTTTAAAATTTTTGTACCTTTGACCGTGCTGGCATTGGATAAATATGACTTTTGTATACTATATGAAATTTAAAGATGAAAAATAAAATACTGAAAGCCTTAAAAAACATATTTCGAAGAAAAAAAAGGTTCACGGGCTACAAGAGTCAAAAATTGGGACTATGAAAACGGAGACATGCCGACAAAATGTTCTTGTATTGTAGGAACGTTCACGGGAGACACATTAAGACAAAAATAGATTCTAAAAATTTAATAATAAATCGAATATATTTAATTTTTAGCAAATTAATTCAATTATTTCCCACCATGAAACGCCAGTTTGGATATCATAATTTTTGCAAAATTTTATATTAAAAAATATCAACCACACAAAAAATAACTTGGACACAATTTGCTCAAAAGTTATGTTCCGTCAATATCTAACAAAACAAATACATTTGATTTTGAGTTATATATACATATATGTAGTATGTGACTATGTGAGTATATATACTATAATGAAGATATTATGTTTTTGTGATAATGTTTATATTCAATGATTTTTTTTGTCTCAAATAATCGTATAAAAAAATTCTCTAAATTTTTTATATTCAGATCTTAAACATAAAATATAATAAAATAATATCACATTTTGGGGTTTGGAAAACTAATTAAGATAAAACATTTGATTTTCCTAGCACAAAAAAAAATATGACATATGTAAATGTTCTAAGTTTTCGAGCAAATAATCTCCCAATCATTTATGGATGAAAATATTTCCCATAACATAAAAGTTCGTGACATTCATATTCAATTTATTGTTGCATAATTTATCAATTTCGTAAAATAAATAAATGAATTATAAAAACACTAGTTTCTTACCATCATTTGATGGATAATTGGAAACATGATATCATATATCTTAAACAAATTGTGTCGGCATTTGGTACTAACTACAATAAATTCGGGTAATTATCATTATTAGTTTTATTACTATTTTGGTCACTTCTCGATTATTAATAATTTGATGTACGACTTCTTTTTTGGTTTGTTTGCTTCTAATGAAACTTATTTGGTAACAAATTATGGTCGATAGTTAGATTTTAATTCAATTTAAATTTTATGACCTAAAACTTAGTAAACTTGTAAACATGACTTCTAAAACCATGTAAATACAATTGACGTTTTAAAACAGATCTTATTTTACTAATTTGAAATTTAAAAAATCTAGCTTGGTTTCAAATTGCAATTTCCAAACCTTTTGTTTCCTTTTGATGTAAATCCATATATACATACATATATAGGAAATCCATATATATATATATATATATATATAAGCGTGTGTGTGTATATATGAAATCCCCAACAGCCATATAAAAGAATATATGTATATCAGAGAGAGAGAGAGAGAGAGAGAGAGAGAGAGAGAGAGAGAGAGAGAGATGGCACACAAAAGAGCACGTGAACTCTACATTTCTCAGTGGGAAAATCGCAGCAAACTCCGAATAACACTTTCACGTGAACAAAGTAGCAGCCAAAATTACAGAACATTTCTTCATTACACACACATATATATATTAAAAAAAATATAAAACCATAGAAAGGACATGGTTTTTGTTGGGCGCACTGGGCCTTTGGGAGGAAGAACAGAACAGAGAGGATCAACAAAGAGCTTCATCCATGAAGAAGGAAGGATGTGAGATAGAAGCTGTGGATATCGACTTCAAGATCTTTCCACGGATCAGAAGGGTTAACCCTTTCGCGATCTCCGTGTGGAAAATGCCCCAAGAAACTGATCCGTGGAAGATTGAGGAAGAGACAGGCAACAAGATCAAGCATGTCTTAAACGGAGTTACCTGCAGAGCGAAACCGTGCGAAATTCTTGCAATTGTCGGCCCCAGTGGCGCAGGGAAGTCTTCTCTGCTTGAAATTCTTGCTTCCAAAGCCACTCCACAAACCGGCTCGGTTTTTGTGAACCAGAAACCTGTTGACAGAGCCAAGTTCAAGAAAATCTCAGGTTATGTCACTCAGAAGGATACTCTGTTTCCTTTACTTACGGTGGAAGAAACCCTTATGTTCAGCGCCAAGCTGCGTCTAAATCTCCCTCGAGAAGAACTGAGATTGCGGGTGAAGTCCTTGGTACAAGAGCTCGGTTTAGAAGCTGTAGCAATGGCTCGTGTTGGCGATGATAGGGTCAGAGGAATATCCGGTGGAGAGAGACGTCGAGTTTCTATAGGAGTTGAGGTTATTCATGATCCCAGAGTTCTTATTCTTGATGAACCCACGTCTGGTTTGGACAGTACTTCGGCACTGCAGATCATAGAGATGCTCAAACTAATGGCTGAAACACGGGGTCGGACCATAATTCTGAGCATCCACCAACCGGGATTTCGTATAGTTAAGCTCTTCAACTCTGTTCTTCTGTTGGCCAATGGCTCGGTCTTGCATCAAGGCTCGCTAGACCAGCTTGGTGGTTACTTGAGGTCAATTGGTTTGCAGCTTCCTCTCCATGTAAATATTGTAGAGTTCGCCATCGAGTCCATTGAAGACATCAGAAAACAGCAAAAGATTCAGCGAGGAAGAAGGGTGGGACATGTCCTGACATCAACAACACAACAACAGAAGAAATCAGAAGATATGAAAGAGGAAGGCAGAAGTGGAAAATCCACGCTACAACAGCTGTTTCAGCAATCCAAGGTTGCTGATAAGGGAACCATGAATGCTGGCATTGAATTCAACAGGAATTTCGCAAAATCAAGAATAGAAGAAACTATGATACTCACTCATAGGTTCTCAAAAAACATATTTAGAACTATGGAGCTGTTTGCATGCAGGACAGTTCAGATGTTAGCGTCAGGACTAGTTCTCGGTCTGATTTTCCATAATCTTAAAGTCGATCTCATTGGTGCACGAGAAAGGGTAGGCCTATTTGCATTCATATTGACATTCCTGCTAACTAGAACAATAGAGGCACTGCC